GTCTTTTATATCATTAATGATGTAGTTACAGCTATTTGTACTATTTTTGTCTTTTAACCTTCATACTAGATTTATAAGTGAACCTACCACCTTTACATTAGATTATTCTGAATTTTACTTTACCAGTGATATTTATACTTGCCTGTTTTCCTGATACTTATCAGTGCTATTTCATTTCAGCTTAAAGAAGTCCCTGTAACATTTCTTGTAAAGCTGGTCTAGAGGTGATTAACTTCTTCAACTCTTGATTGCCTGGAAAACTCTTTTATCTCTCCTTCAATTCTGAAGGACTGCTATGCTCTGTAGAGTATTCTTGGTTGGCAGTTTTTTTCTTTCAGCACTTCGACTATATCACATCACTTCTTTCTGACCTGCAATGTTTCTGCTGAAAATCTGCTGAGAGTTTAGTGGGGCTTCCCTTGTGTGTACCAAGTTGTTTTTCCCTTGTTGCTTTTAAGCTTCCCTCCTTGTCTTTAACTTTTGACAGTTTAATTTTGATAGGTCTTGGTGTGGATCTCTTTGGGTGCATCTTTTTTGGAATTCTCTGGGCTCTGGATATCTATTTCCTTTTCCAGGTTAGGGAAGTATGCAGTGTTATTTCTTCAAATAAGTTGGCTGCCCCTTTCTCTTTCTTGTCCTTCTGGGACCGCTGTAATGTTAACATCGATCCTCTTGATATTGCTCATAAGTCCTTTAAGATATGCTCACTGTTTTCTCCGTCCTTCCTTCCTTCTTTCCCTCTTTCCTTTCTTCCTCTTTTCTTTTCTTTCCTCTTCCTTCTCTTCTCTTCTTTCTTCTTTTTCTGCTTTGATTCCACTCCACTGTCTTTGAGTCCACAGATCCTTTCTTCCACTTCATGTAGTCTGTGGTTGAATCCTTTTATTGTATTTTTTCAGTTCAGTTATTGTATTCCTCAGCTCTGTGATTTGTTTGGTACTTTGTTTTCTGTCTCTTAGTTGGAATTCTCATTTTGTTCATGCATTGTTCTCCTGACCTCGGTGTGCATCGTTATGACATGAACTCTTTATCAGGTAAGTCACTTGTCCCCATTTCATTAAGAGGTTGTTATGAGGTTTTATCTTTTTCTTTCATTTAGAATGTACTCCTCTGTTTTTTCATTTTCCTTGACTCTGTTGGTTTCTATGCATTAGGGAAAACAGCCACCTTTCCCAGTCTTGAAGGAGTGGCCTGGTGTAGGAAATGAACCTTATGGTTCAACCCTTTCCTAGTTCTTGGTTATCTCTCAAACCTTTCCCATTGTCCAAGCAGACTGCTTTGTTCTTAGTGGCTCTCAGAAATTGAGGATTTGCCAAGACCTATCAGTGCCCTAAAGGGGAGGATCTCAGTCTGCACCTAGATTCAGGCTGATTGGAAGCAGCTTTAAAAGTATGTAAATAGGGGTGCCTGCGTGGCTCAGCTGTTAAGCGTCTGCCTTCGGCTCAGGTCATGATCCTGGGGTCCTGGGATAGAGCCCCACATCGAGCCCCACATTGAGCCCCACATCGAGCCCCACATCGGGCTCCCTGCTCGGCGGGAAGCCTGCTTCTCCCTCTCCCACTCCCCCTGCTTCTGTTCCTGCTCTCACTAACTCTCTCTCTGTCAAATAAATAAAATCTAAAAAAAAATAAAAATAAAAATAAAGTATGTACATATACCTTTCTCAGGGGAAGACTGGAAGATAGGTGTTCCTGTCTGCTCCTTTTGCACTGAGCCTTGGGATGATAGCCAGTTAAGAATTATATTTGTTTTGCTACTGTCCTATTGAACCCATAAACACAAGCCCCACTGGCCACCTGCTTTCAGTTATTTTGGGTATATACCCAGAGTGGAATTGCTGGATCATATGGTAATTCTATTTTTACTTTTTTGAGTAATCACTCTACTGTTTTCCATGGCAGTTACACCATTTTACATTCCCACCAACAGTGCACAAGGGTTCCAGTTTCTCCACATCCTTGCCAACACTTGTATTTTCTGTTGTTGTTTTTTATTAAATGGTAGCCATCCTAATGGGTATGAGGTGACATCTCATTGTAGTTTTTTTTCTCTCTTTTTATTGTGTTAGAATACACATAATGTAACATTTACCATCTTAACCACTTTTTAAATGATTTTATTTATTTTAGAGAGAGCACATGCAAGAGGGGGGCAGGGCAGAGGGAGAGAGAATCTCAAGCGGACTCCACACTGAACGTGGAGCCCGGCATGGAGCTTGATCTCATGACCCTGAGATCATGACCTGAGCCAAAACCAAGAATTGGACATTTAACCGACTGAGCCACCCAGGCACCCCTTAACCATTTTTTTAAAGTGTACAGTTCAGTGGTATTAAGTACTTTCTAGTGTTGTACAGCCTTCACCATCATCCATCCCCATAACTCTTTTCATCTTGTAAAACTGAAACTCTATACCTATTAAACACTAACTCCCTGTTCTTGCCTCCCTCAGGCCATGCAGCCACTATTCTACTCCCTGTCTCTATGATCTCAACTACTCTAGGTACCTCATATCAGTGGATCACACAGTATTTGTCTTTTTGTTGCCTGGTTTATTTCACTTCTCATAACATCCCCAAGGTAAATCTATGTTGTCTCATGTGTCAGAATTTCCTTCTTTTTAAAGATAGAATAATATTCCATTGTGTATGTATGGCACATTTTGTTTCTCTATTCATCCATTGATGGACACTTGGGTTGCCTCCATGCTTTAGGTATTGTGAATAATGCTGCTACAAATATGGGTGTATAAATATCTCTTCAAGACCCTGCTTTCAGTTCTTTTGGGTAGATACCCAGAAGTGGAATTGCTGGATTATATGGTATCTCTATTTTTAATTTTTTGAGGAATCTCCATACTGTTTTTCCATAGAGGCTGCACCATTTTACATTCCCACCAACAGTGCAGAAGGGTTCAAGTTTCTCTACATCCTTGCCAATGCTTGTTGTGTTCTGTTTTTTTTTTTTTTTAATTATCTTAATGGGTGTGAGGTGGTATCTCATTGTAGTTTTGATTTGCATTTCCCTAATGATTAGTGATGTTGAGCAAATCTTTTCATGTGCTTATTGATCATTCATTTATCCTTTGGAGAAATGTCTATTCAAGTTCTTTGCCTGTTTTTTAATTGGGTTGTTTGGGTTTTTGTTGTTATTATTGTTGAGTTTTAGGAGCTCTTTCTATATTCTTCATATTAACACCTGGATATAAATCAGATATATGATTTTTGGAATGTTTCCTCCCATTCTGTGGCTGCCTTTTCACTCTGTTGATCGTGTCTTTTGATGCATAGAAGTTTGTTATTTTGACGTAGTCCAATTTGTCCATTTTTTAATCACCTGTGCTTTTGGTGTCTTATCAGAGAAATCATTGCCAAATCCAATGTTATGAAGCATTTCTCCTATGTTTTCATCTAGGATTTTTATAGTTTAAGCTCTCACATTTAGGTTTTCAATCATTTTGAGTTTATTTTGTGCATGGTGTGAGGTAGGGGTCCAGCTTGACTCTTTTGCATATGGATATCCAGTTTTCCCAGCACCATTTGTTGAAAAGACTGTCCTTTCTCCTTTGAATGGTTTTTGACACTCTTGTTGAAGCCATTTGGCCATATAGGCAAGGGCTTATTTCTGGGCTGTCTCTCCTGAATGTCTGTCTTCATGCCAATACCACACTTTTTGATCACTGTAGTTTTACAATAACTTCAGAGATTTGAAATCAGGAAGTATGAGAATTCCAGTGCTGTTCTCTTTTTTCAAGATTGTTTTGTCTATTTGGGGGTCCCTTGAGATTCCGTATGAATTTTAGGATTGGTTTTTCAATTTCTGCAAGAAATGCTGTTGGGATTTGGTAGAGATTGCATTAAATCTATAGATACTTTGAGTAGTACTGACATCCTAACAGTATCAAGTCTTCCTATCCATGTGCATAGGTTGTCTTTCCATTTATTTGTGTCTTTTTAAGTTTCTTTCAGCCATGTTTCATAATTTTCAGGGTACAGGTCTTTTACCTCCTTGGTTAAGTTTATTCCTAAGTATTGATGCTATTGTAAATGGAATTGTGTTCTTAATTTACTTTTCAGATTGTTCATCGTTAGTGTATAGATATGCAACTGATTTTGAGTGTTGATTTTGTAATGTGGCAACATTGCTAAATTCATTTATTCTGACAGATATTTTTTGGTATAACCTTTAAGGTTTTCTACACATGAAACCATGTCATCTGCAAACAGAGGTAATTTTACTTCTCCAGTTTGGATGCCTCTTTCTTTTCCCTCCTTTCCTTTTCCTTTCCTTCCTCCTTCCTCCTTCCCTCCTCCCTCCTTCCCTCCCTCCCTCCCTTTTTTGTTCTGGTTAGGACTTCTAGTACAATGTTGAATAGAAGTGATGAAAGTTAGCATCCTTCTCTTGTTCCTGATCTTAGAGGAAAAGCTTTCAGTCTTTCACCACTGAGTATGATGTTACTCGTGGGCTTGTCATATATGGTCTTTATTAGGTTGGGATACATTTCTTCTCTTCCTAGTTTGGCCTTTTCCTTTTTCCTCTGTCCTCCATCCAGACGGAGACCAGCTTGTCCTTTTCCCTCCTGCGTTTTAAGGTGGACATCTGAAAGAAAGTGGCTTCGGTTTCCCTTTGGAGAATTTCCCCCATAGTTCTCTTCCCCTTTCCATGAATTTTTCTGTTCACAACGCAAACCTTTGTTGAGGTTGCACTGTGTGACAGGCATGGGCATGGTGCTCTCCTGCCCACAGGAGTTTTCACCCATGTTGTCTGAACCTTCACAGGGGCCATCTGAAAGAATGATCTCTGTCTCCATATCTAGCAGCAGAGGAGCTTGCTCAGAACAGAGCCAGTTCCTATGACTCCTTGCCCTGTATTAACCTTGGGCTGCTGCTGTTTCTATGTCTAGCCATTAAGCCATGTTGCTGGCCCATGGGCAGGTGCCTCCTGTCCCTCCTGAGCTGGCCCCGGTCCAACCCTGAAGTCTGCTTTCTCTCCTTGCATTGACAGAAGTCCTGGGCCTATGTCAAGAAGTGCAAAAACAACGTGCATCCCAATCGGGGCTTGGTGGCTCAGCTGTCGGAGTGGGAGAAGGTCATCCTCGGAGACTCTGTCACAGACATCTGGGATCCACTCTACTGATCTTCTCTATGGTCCACCTGTGGGTCCTGAAGAACTTCGCTTGGGGGCCTCTTGTGGGTAGTGGGCCAGGCTGTGTAACCAGATTGGTGTGGAAAGAGAAGGCCTTTGCTGCCTGGAGTCTTGTGTCAGCCTCTTGCAGTGGTTCTTCTCAGGCTCCTCGTTCACGCCCCAGAGCAGGCGTACTCTGCTCAGACTCAGCGAGAGCCCCCATCCCTGGGTTTTCCTGGCCCACCCCCACTGCTCTTCTGAGGCTGCCTCTGGAAGAGCATCTGGCTCCTGAGCAGCTATCTCACATGCCCCCAATGACCTGGACCCTTTGGAGGCTGGCTTGGAGGAGCTCCAAGGATTCCCCCTGCCTTGTGTTGGTCCACAGGGTGTCACAGTGCCCCCGTGGGTGGAGATCTGCCAGGCCCAGCGTTGGCCCAGGTGCCAGGCTCCAGGCACAAGTACACCCTGTCTCATCCCGGGTCCCAGCACTCCCACCACTCTGCCCGTTGATGACTTGTTCAGATTTCCTTTCCTTGCTCCCCATTCCTCCTGGCTGGGTTCCCCAAAGACAGATTTCCACCCCTCCTATCTACTACACCCATGTTTCTAGAAATTCCTCAGGTCTTAAAGGGAATTTTCTTCAGAATGTACTTCCTAGTGCTGGCTGCACCCACAGCACCAGTCAGGAGAGGGCAGAAGATGGACAGGGAATTTGGGATGTCCATGTCATTCAGCAGACACTCCCTGCCACCTGCGTGCAGCCAGGGAGGGACAGAGAGGTGAAAGCCATCTCACCTCCCAGGACTCTCTGCAGGAGGGTGGATTCCCCCTCCTCCCAAAGGAAGCTCAAGCCCTCAAGGAGTGGGGTTTTGCTCTACGGATGAGGGCTTTCCGGTCAGCGCAGGCTTGGGATCAGTTAGGATAGGAGCTGGAACGGAGATTGGGAAGGCTGCAAGCGATGGCTCTGTGGGTTAGGGACCTGGTGGGAAGGGCAGAGCCACTGGTAAGTTTCCGTCAGGGACATGGTGGGGATTAGGCTGGTGCATTAGGACCGCAGGCTGGTGGCTCTGAAAGAACAGTAGCGGTGAGCCTGGAGGCAGGGAGACAGTAGGAAGGTGGCCGCTGTAAAAATCCAGCCGAGAAAAGAGGCTCAGAATCCTCTCCGGGCAGAGGCGCAGCTTTCCCAAGGACGAGAGTGTTCGAGGCAAGGGTCACCTCCGTGGGCCTCGGTTTACTACCAGCATGACGGGCCAGAGCCCCGTGGGCCACACCACGCGG